CTGCGCTTTCCCTCATCCTGGCCCAGAACCAGCCTTGGGAAAAGGACAATGACATTGGAGAAGACCCCCACCTGGGGTCAGGGGCCAGGGTAGGAGTACCTGCTCCTGCCCTGCCCTGGCTGTGGGACAGTGGGCAAGTCATCTTGCCTCCCTGGGCCCCTGTGTCCTCCTCTGCCAAACGAGGGGCTGGACTAAGGTGGTGGACAGGTGATTTCAGGGACAGAGAAGCAGAGAAGTGGAGGAAGGACTGAACCTCCGGGCAGAAGAAAATGCATAAACACATACGGAGGTGGGAAGCCACAGCTTAGGGAATGTGGGGAACAGTATTTCAAGGACTTAAGAGCTGACCTCCAACTTAAGATCATGGGCAGGGTTTTTCCTCCCATGGTGCTTGCAAACATGAGCGTGCATGCTCACGTGCGCGCGCACAGGCACACACACACACGCACATACACTCCACAATCTGAGTGGTTTGATTTGGTTCAGCTAGTAAAAGAGATACATGACCATGGGTGATGAGCTAGGTACCGTGCACTCGTGTGCTTTTCATAGATTAGCTCGCTTGGTGCTCACGGAAATGCTGGGAAATCAGAACTGGTATTAACTCCATTCTACAGATGAGCAAACCGGGGCTCAAAGAGGTGTGGTGACTTGCCCAACAGCACACAGCCATAAATGACTGGCAGGAACTAAATTCAAGTCCCTGGGACATAAAGCCCAGGCTGAGGGACAGCTTTCCGGAGGCTCTGGCTCCAGCCTTCTGATGGCCTTGGTGCCACTCACATTTGTATATTAGCACCTTCTGAGTTTGCTGCTGCTTTCTTTCCCTGCTTACCTGGCAAAGTTTGGGAACTGGGTCTCCCCTCCTCATAGATACAGAACCCCAGAGCCAAAGCCTTTAGCATCATTTGCCTAAATGCCTCTTTTACAGGAGGAAAGATAAAGTTATGTTAAAGGCACACACAGCACCTATGGGACCCATGGGAGGGGCTGAGAAAACTCAGGCATCACTATTATTACTACTGAGGGCAAGGCACTGCTTCAGACCCACCCAGCCTCTGCCCACGCTAGAGCTGGGTTTGTACCCTGGACTAGACAGGATCCCTTTTCTCCAGGGACAGTGGACTAGAGAATTGGCTCAGGGAAGTCCTGCAAGTCTGGGAACTAATGCAAAGCAAAGGTGACCCACAGGGCCTGGGTTTGCACGACAGCCCTAGGACTAGAAAGGGGATGACAACAGGGAGCTGCAGTTGATCTGATCAGATCTTAAAATTCACACAGAACCCTCCAGGCAACACAAGACAGGGGTGCCTAGGTGACTTACTCCCCTGGCATAGCACCCATCCTTCGAATCCCCTCCACCTGGTCGCATTGACCACCCCACCAACACACCTGGGGCACAGGCAGGCCAAGCGGATCGTCCCAGTTTGTAGAGGCAGAAGCTCAGGCCTGGGCTGAACCAGCACCCTTTCCAGGATACCTGGGGGAGGTGAAGGCAGGGGTGGGCTTCCAATCCCATCCCTCTTCTTACTCCCCACACCCACTGAGGCAGAAGCTGGGCTGGGAAGGAGAAAACACCTGCTCCTGCCTTTCTGTGAGATTCTCCCACAGGTGGCAGGGAAGACCCAGGCAGGGTGGGGGCAGGGCTTAGTGTGCAGAGCAGGGAGGCTGCCCTGTCATCACAGATGACATTCCAGTTGTGCAGGAAAAACATATTCCTGAGTCCTGCCACCTTGTGACTTTTCTTTCTGCAGTGTCAGCCTTAACAAGGTCAGCTTGATGAGGCAGAAAGAGCGGGGGTGCTGCAGGGAGGCAGATCTGAACTGGAATCCCAACACTTCTTCCCTGTCCTGGGCTGTGGGGTGGGGCTGGCCCGTGGCCTTTTTCTTCACCTCTGCTTCTTCACATGTGAAAGGAGGAGGGTGCATTACACCTCAGGCTGCAGCGAGGAGCCAGGGCCACGGAGCACTAAGTGCGCAGTGAGTAGTCGATGCTCCAGAAATGTTCACTCCCTTTCCTCCTCACTCCCCCTCCCCTGAGAGAAAATTAGTCACCTGTCAAGAACTAACTCGCAAATGTAGAGCTCAACAGTCATCAGGGCAGAGTTCAAACTGCAAGGCAAATATTTTCCTTAAGAACCATCAAGGTCCCTGTGTAGCCTATTCAAATGCACGTAGAATTGTAGGCCATTGGTATACCAGCAGATCTTCTATTGAGATCCTTTTAAAGAGCCAAGCCTCCAACATTTCCTTCTTTGGGGGTCACCTTTGGACATAAATAGAATGGCTAAGAGCCATCCCGTGCCCCTGAGTTAATACAACTTGCTCTGTAATAGGTTATCCTCACCCTGCTAGAATCTGCAGGTTTTACCCAATCACCCACCTTTGTCACTTACCCATCAAACTGTAGCAGCTTGGCTCTCCAGGCTCCCCTGAGGATCACAACTTCTGACCCTTTGGCTCATTTTAAAAAGATCCACAGGCCAGCCTGTTTTCACTTGGCTCCCCAGAGTGCAGTCCAGTGAGTCCAACGAGGGTGCATCCTCTAGGGGGCCTGTTAAAACATGGGCCCCACCTCCAGAGTTTCTGATTCAGTGAGTCAAGAATATGCCCTTCTATCAAATTCCCAGGTGATGCTGATGCTGTGGGTCCTGGGACCACACTTTGAGAACCGCTAGTCTAGCACTATGCTGGGTGCAGGGACTCGGGGGCTAAGCTGCTGAATTCCCAGCTCTGCTGCCTTCTAGCTGGGCCACTCTGGGCCACAGTTGCCTCATCTGTAAAATCAAGATAATAATAGTCTCTACCTCATAGGTGAGCCTGGAGAGGGCGGAATGTGTTAACACATGCAAACTATGTGCCTGGTACATAGCAAGTGCTCAATAAAATGTGCTATTATTAGCATAGCAAAAAAAAAGCACCATACCTAGGTTTCAGTCCAGGCTTTCACACTAGCCATGTGACTTTGAGGACATCATGTCCCCTCAGTTTTTTCGTCTGTCCTAAGAGGGTAATGATAACCCACTTTACATTCCACACAGGGTGTTCTGAGGATCAAGTGGAATCTGCGGAGTGTACTTTTTAAATAATACGCGTTGTACAAATACCTGCAGCGAGGTGTTAGGGGAGAACATGAACTTGAAGTCAGAGAGACCTGGCCTGAAATACCAAGTTAAATAGGCAAGTCTCTCCCTCTGACAGGCTCAGTTTCCTCATCTCTAAAATGAGGGAGACAATAGTGAGAGCCTCAGAGAAGCTGGGAAATGTCCTGAGAATCCCTCACCTGAAGTCTGCTCCTCACTCTCGTCTTCAGTTAGTACCAAGGTCTAAGGATTTCAAATCAGGTTCAGGACTGATGCCTGGGCCTTGCCCAGTCCCCTCCCACAGATCTGCCACAGAGCAGCGGCCAAATTTGAGAGCCCTCCAGCTTGAAGCCTGGGCTGACTCACACACTGGCCAGCCCCCTCTTGTCGACTCCAGAAGACCCAGCTCAGAGGGTTCATGATAAGGGTGTAACAAGAGAAAGGGTGAGCCGTCCTGCCCAGATCCCACACCAGGCAGGCCCTCAGTAAACACCCCTTCTGGCAGAGGTCTTTGCAGCCCCTCCCAGGCTGCCTGCAAACATCTTGCCTCTGGGAGCCATCAACTCTGCAAGTGAATTCCTTGCAGCATAAGAGGTTTCACAGCAACTTTATTCTCCAGGCGAGAGGTAGAACAGCCCTTCCCTCCTCCAGGAGGGGAGGGAGCAGTCAGAGGCCTGTTTAATTTAATTTAACGCACTATGGCTTGCCAGGTTGCCCCTGGTAACAGCTTCAGCTGCTGCTTCAGTTACAACCAGAAGGATTTTTAAAGAGACAGCCCATTTCGGGGCCAGAATTGCCAGCAGGGTGAACGGCTTCATCACAGGGATAGAAGATTAAACCTTAGGCATAGAAGGTTAAACCTAAGGCTTCAGATCAGATCCATTTAAACAATTAGCTCCATTCCGTATCGCAACCCCATAAGGCCTCCTGCAAATGTAACTCTTAAGCAGGAATCTAAGAAGGGACCGTGTTTGGGATTTGTCATACAGATGGCACTCATCTAGCTACTTTTCTGAAAATCAGTTTCAGTCGTCAAGTGGAAGGAGAGTTAACGCTGAGTTTTCACTGCAATTCAGGCATACTGCCACCAGGTGGTAGTATTGCTTGTTTAGTTAAAACCTTAACCGGGCTCTTGAATTACTCAAGACTATCAGAGTGGTGGTGAAACCAGTGGATTTTAAGCCCTGATACTAACTTCTGACCATTGGTAAGTTGCTTCACCTCTGTGGTCTCAGTGTCCTCAGAGATACAATAAGGAGCTTGATCAAAATAATCGAGTGTTGTGGACAAGGCTTAAGGCTAGGACTATGAAGGCATGAGTTTAAGTCCCAGCTGTCGTGTACTATGTGGCTGGGCACATAATTTAATTTCTTGTGACCTGAATACCAAACAAGAGAGTGGCTATGAACCATGGAGAGCCCTGAGGACACCACACTACTCTCCAACACGGGGGACCCGTGGAGGCGAGAAAGGTGCCAGGGACTCTAGGGGGTCTGGGGCCTAGGAGCACAGCAGGGTGTGGAGAGTGGGGTGAGGCAGGATGCCTCTGGACTCCAGGGCCTGAGGCCTCATAGTTCCACGGGGAGCTGAAATAGGTCGCAGTGAACAGAGCAGCCTCCTAGATACCCCTAACTCCGGTCAGCTTTAACCTGAACTAGCAGAAAGGAAGCAAACATTGATGGAGCAAGAGCTCCAAGCTACGTACTGCTTCACAGTACCTATGAGGTTGGTATTATTACCCTCCTTTGCAGACAAGCACACAGCCCCGAGGGGTAACTCATCAGCCCAGTGCCTGCCACCCGCCACCCGCCACCTGCCACCCGCCACCCGGCCTCTGCTCTTTGTATTACAGCCCCCACATCTACTGCACGTGCTTTTGCTTGTGGCTACACCTCCTTGTAAGGAGCCTGAGACGGGGAGCAGGTTCTGTCTCTCCCTCGCATGACTCAGTTTGGCCAACCTCAAAGTGGGCATAAAGTCAGACAGTGGTTATGAGATCACACCTACAAGCAGCCAGGGAGCCTGAGGCACACATGCCTTCAATCTTGCCGTGGCCAGGCCCTGATATTATATCCAGGTCTTCAGCCAGCTTGGCCCACAGTAATTGTCCCATGAATCTGAGTTCCATACCCACATCCCAGGTCCTGTGTAGGTGCAGGAGATAAGGCTACCCAGCAGCCTATCCCAGCCTTTTGCTTTGGCCAGTGCTCCCCAGTGAGCTCTCAAGGATGCCCTTTAACACTTGGGACCTGCTGCTCTCCCCTCCGGACACCCCTATTCTAGCTAAAGCTCCATATACATATTCACTCCTAAGGAACAGGATTACTCTCCAAGGTGAATGTAAAAACACATTGGATTTCAGCACTCCCCAGCTCTACCCCCTCCTATGACTCCCTGCTGCCCCGTGGATGAGCTCCAGGTCCGCCTGGTGTACCCCTGCTGGCCCATCCCCTGCCCCTTACAGCTGTGGTTCCAGCCACTTGGGGCTGCATGCAGCCCCCGACACGCCATGCTCACTCGTCTCTGAGCTTTTGCACACAATGTCTCCTCTGCCTGGAATACCTTCTCTCATCATATCCACTGGGGTGGTTCCTACTTGCCCTTGAGAACCCTGCTCCGGCTCATCCTCCTCTGGAAGCCTAGGGAGTACCCCTGGATTGTGTAGGATACCTCCTCCCATACCCCTGGTGTTCCTTTACTCTGTCTTTGGTTCTGACTTTTCCACCAGACGGGGAGATCCTAAAGGCAGGACCTGCCTCTTTCCTCTTCTATGCCCATGGCCCAGCCTGGGCTGCACAGGAAGATACTTGGGGAGTAGCAGCTGAGAAATGCCATTAGTGGGGCCTCCTCTTGGTGGTCTGACTTGGTTCTCATTGCAATCTGATTCACAGGTCTCCTTCCTCTCTTCCTCCCTCCAAGTTCATCCATGGCCTACCCAGAGCAGCTGCAACATAATTTGTGAGATTTAGCTCCCCCACACCTCATCTACACACACCGTGCTCCACATTCACCAGGCTGCCCACAGATGTCCATGCTGAGCCCTCCATCTGGAATGCCCTTGCCCCCCACCCCACTCTCTGAAATGCCACCGCTATTCAAGACCCACCCTACAGCCCAGTGTCTGTGACACTTTCTCCGTCTTCTGGCTGGGATGGCCTCTCCATCCTGCTATATTCGTCTGCATCCCTCTCAGGGATTGCATCGAACTCTGCCTTGTACTATAGTTATCGGCAACCTGATGTGGTGAGGGGAGCATGGGCTTCGGAGGGTAATAAAGGGGGTTCAAATCCCAGCTCTGACACCCGCACACTGTGTGAACTTGAGCAAGTCACTTTACCTCTCTGAGTCTTAATATGTTCCTCTGTAAAATGGGATGACACCTATCTCATAGGTGTTGTGAGATTGAGATGATCAGCATCAGGAACCTGGCACATGGCAGGTGCTCAGTCAAGCCCTATTATTTATGCCTGGGTCTGTTTCCCTGGCCAGGCTGCAAGCTCATGTGGGCCAGGGTGCAGCTCCCATTCAGTTCCTTGTCCCCACAGCACCCAACACTGTGCCTCACATCACAGATGCCAGAAATGCTGGCTGGACTGAATGCATTCACCCTGGCTGCTGGGCGTGGGGGTGGAGGGGTGATGGGGTCCTGAGCTGAGGAAGCCATAGTGGGGTGGGGGTGAGTGCCGCATCCAGTCTGGGGATCATCACAGATGAATGCAGAGGGAGGGGCCAGAGCCTGAAGCAGAGCTGCTGATATGCACTAGGGGTTTTATTGGTTTTCATTAAAATTCCTTCCCGAGGCAGAAACAGCTACTCCCATAAATAACGGCATAAATATTTTATCTGGTGCCCAAGTCGGTCTAAATGCACAGCAAGGTTGGCAAGAATAACAATGGGAGACAGTTCAGGGGGTCCTGGGCTTCAGCTCTCACTCAGCATGCCCAGAAGGGCTTTCCAGGGAAGGTGGGCACTGAGGGACGCGCCAAAGGGGAGAAGCGGGTGGACTGTGGGGGAGAGGTGACCAGTGAAGTGTGGGCCTCAGGGTGGGGGGGATGCAGAGCACAGGTGGGGAGCCAGGGGAGGGGAGCTTAGCTTGGAGAGCAAGACAGGAGGGGAGAGAATGTATCCCACACCGCTCTGTGCTGGGCTCCTCATGTAGGGCATTCACACAGGTCATCTCATCAAATCCTCTGTGGTCAGAGAAGTGAAATGACTTGCCCAAGGTCATCTGGCCAGTCCATGGCAGAGCCAGGACTACATCAAGGATGTTTAAGGCCGAAGTCCTTGTACTACTGGCTGCCTCTCAGGGTTCAGGGAAAGTGTGGGAATCTATGAACAATAGCCTGAGTACCTCAATAACAGCAGCACGGGCCACTCTCTGCTTCCCTAGATCCCCATGGAGGAGAAAAGGGGCTGGTACTTCACCATGGCAACGCTTTTCATCAGGTCAGGCTGGGAAGGGGGCATGGGACTGGGGGGAGGTGTGGCCTAGAACCCAGGGGAGAGATGGCTGAGCCCATCTCCATGGCAAGGGCTCCCCAAGTTCCCCTCTGTGCCATTGGCCAGGGAAAGGGAGGACCTGCAGCCCGAGGGCGACAGCTGGGAGGGGTACCGACCAGCTGCATCCTTCTCTCGGCCACAGGCTAGACGGCATCTTCCTGGAGCTGGGCAGCGAGGAGCAGAAGCGGCTGCCCGCCTTCAACCGCACACTGGCCCTGCTCCGGCAAGTCCTCAAGTCCTCGGACCCCCACTACCGAGGTGGGGCCCTCGGGGGTGGTGGGGGAGCAGACTCTCATGTGGGCCAGGGTGCAGCTCCCATTCAGCTCCCAGCCCGCTCTCCCTGCTCCTGTCTCTGCTATTGGCCCTGCCTCTAGCACTGCCTCCCTTTTTGAACCCTGTTGCCTTCCCTCACCCTCTGTCTCATATCCTCACTTCTCTCAAGAGCTCACTCGCCTTGCATAGATGAGCACACCAGTCACAAACCACCGCAACTGCACGTGTCCAGGTGTGTGTCCCAAGACCTAGTGTGTAAGAGACAGCTTCCATCTCAGCCTCTCAGCCCCTCTTTCACCTGGGAACAAAGGCTCTCCTGGAGAGGAGTTCAGGCACTTTTCACAAGGCCACACAACTAGAACAGGGACTGGAGCTTCAGAGCTGGAGCCAGAGAGGCTGTGCACCTTCAGAGAAGTCCCCTAAGTGATGTAGTAAACACAGATGAAGCATGACAGTGTGTGCATCCATTCACTCCCATGTCCCCTCTCCCCACCTTTGTTTCTCTTGGTCAGTCCCTGAGTGGCTCTCAGTGATTTCATGCCGCTGACCCTCCCTTTGTCTTCCTGGGAGCCGACACCTTGGTGTAGCTGGTCCCCTCCCCCTTGGGGCTCCTCCCCCTCCATTCCCCTGCTGCTTCCTAGAGACCCCTCTCCCACTCTTCACCCCAGCTCTGGCCTGGTGCTACCTTGGGATGCTGCTGGAAAGGAAGGACACGTTCTCTACCACCCCCATGGGCGTCCACGACTGCGGGTACTCAGGGACTGACCCCCTGGACTGCTTTGGCAAGGTATGACACCCACTCCAAACTGGGACGGAGCCTAGTACCCCATCCTCCTCTTCTGGAACCCTCTGCGTCTCTGGGTGTCATCCTCCACCCCCCACACACACACACTGCGTGCCCCCCCTCCATCCCAAACAGAAGTGCTCCCTTATCATCAATCCTCTTTGCCTAAGAATCAGACCCTCTCCACACCCAGCCTGGCCCAAGCCTGTGGCTCCAGCTTTGTCTTCTGCGCTATTCACCATTTCCCAGGTATACCCTCCGGCTTTTCTCCCTCAGGCCTCCCCCCCTCCAGTGGCCTAGTGGAAAGAGGATGGGTTTAGCCAGGGTCTGGTGCCAGCTGTGCCCACAGGCTGTGTGACCCTAAGGCAAGTCACTTCCATCTCGGAGCCTCCTTATCTGTTAATTATGTGATCTGTCTACCTTCTAGATGATTAAGAGACTCAAAGGAGTTAGTGGACAAAGCTATTCATTGTAAACTGCGAAGTGCTTTTCAAGCCTTATTCTTGGCACCTCATTTATGTGGCAGTTTCTACACTCAGCTCAGTTTTAAAGTCCTTCTTGGAGGCCGGACCCTGTGATATTCATTCACCTATGCATTCAGCACAGTGCCCTGCATGGATGCTTCCCTAATGTTTGCTGGTGGGTGAAGAGCAATTTCTTGATGAGAGATCTTAGAACACAGCAGAGCATTAACACTGGCTCATGGGTGTTCTGAGAGTTGTGTCCAATTTAACAAAAACACAGCCTTCACCCCTCCTTGAGAACCTACCCTGTGCTGGGGCAAAGAGATGGCCGACAGGGCCCAGCCCTGCAGTTCACCACCTCAGGGGCAGCAGAGAACACAGCACAGGCAGCCATCAGTAGCAGACAGGGGCAAGTGCTGTGGCCTAGACAGAAACACTGCACTAGGTATGGGGAGGTAGAGGCTGATTCTGGCCCCTCCTCCCACATGCCCTGGGAAAATGGGGGAGAGCACACTGGATGTGTCTGAGGAAGAGGGGTTTGCCTGGGGTCTGGTGGGGTTCATTGGACATGACCCTTGAATGTGGCAGAGAGCATGGCAGTGAGCCGAGCTCTCAAGAGTTAAGTCCCAGTGAGCTGTACCTCAAAGTGAAGACTGAGCTTCCTGGCAGGTGGTTATGGGGAATAAGAGCATTGCGATGATGGCTCTGTCCAGAGATGGGGTTCCTGAAGATCAGGCACTATTTAGTCAGTTCTGGCAAACAGATTGTTTGCTGTCACCCTCCTCCCTTATCCAGGCCATTGAGATTGCCAAGGACCAACCCTCGATCCTGAATCGCCTGGCCAAAATCTTCCACTTCCTAGGAAAGCAGGATATGGCCATTGGCACCTGCAACATGGCCCTGGATATCCTACGAGATCCAGAACTCAACTGGCAGGCTTACTGCACAAGGGCCAAGGTGAGTCACCCTTTAACTCCCCCTCCTTCTGCCACTGGGAGTCAGAGAACAAGGGCCACAGGCCAAGACCCTGTTGCCAGAGCCCAAAGGTAATGGAGCCTTCATGGCAGAAAGGAGCTTAGGAGTCACTGAGGCACAGTTTATGTGAAAGACTAAAGGACCCTCCCATCCACTGCAGGCATCCCTTCTACAGTGACCTACCCAGTCAATGACCTGCAGCCTCTTCTTGATTAGTACCCAGTGTAGTCAGACTGACCTGGGTTGAAATCTGACCTCTCTACTCATCACTCTGGGACTTGGGGCAAGCCACTCCCCCTCCAAACTTCCAAATCTGGAAGATACGGATAATAACACCAATCTTAAAAGGCTGTCAGATTAAGCGAAGTAACATCTGATGCACTGTGCCTGGAGCATGGGGGGTGCCTGGAGCATNATTAAGCGAAGTAACATCTGATGCACTGTGCCTGGAGCAATGGGGGTGCTTATGAAAGGCAGTAGGGTATAATAGGGGTGGCCTAAGGTAGTAGATCAGAGCTCTCCCAGTCACCTCAATCCCATCGCCCTGCTTACTTTTTCATAGAACTCATCACCACTTGAAATGGTACTATCTACTTGTTCATGGTCATCTTCCTACTAGGATGTTAAGTTCCAAGAGGGCAGGGACCTCATCTGTCTTATCACCATTGCACCCCCACCCAGTTCCTAGCACAGGCCTGGCATATGGTGGGCACTCCATACATATTTGTTGAATGGATGAGTGAATGAATGAAGGGCTCTTACTTCATCAACTCACTCATTGTACAGCAGGGAAACTAAGGCCTAGAAAGGGGAGTGGCTAGCCCAGGTTGGCACAGGATTAGAACCTAGGACTCCTGGGTCCCAGCCTCAGGGGTTTTCTGCTATACCACAGAACCTCCCTGAGTTGCTGTTGAGAAGACTGGCTTCATTTAGGGTAAAAAGGAGGGCAGGGCTCCTTGGTTGGAGCATCTTCCCTGAGCTGACTCTCTGCTGGCAGATCCATATCAGAGCCTACCTTCATGACCTGGAGCGGGTCAAGATGGGGCTCGGAGGCATGCCTGACAGGAACCACCTGGCCTGCGCCAAGGCGGACCTGGAGGAAGTGGTCAAGGTGTGCCCAGGCCTCAAGACCTACCTGGACATCGGCCAGGTAAGGCAGTCTCTTGGCTTGGGTAGCCCATGGCTTACTAAGAACCTATTTACTTTCTGCCAGGCCAGGCCTGAGAACTTAGGACACAGGGAGGAACAGGGGGCACCACCCTACCTAATAACAGTACCCACCTCCTACAGGTGATCATTAAATGAGAGAAGCGGGTACATTGTTTAGAAAAAGGGCCTAACTCTTTCTAAGCACTCAGGCAGTGTGAGCAGGGAATGATTACCAAAAAGGTGACAAGATTATATTTTACATATGAGAAAACCGAGGCCCAGAAACTGCCTTGCTCGAGGTTACGTGGCCACGAGCGGTGGGGCTGGAACGGAAATGAGAGCACTGTCTCTCCTTCCCCAGGGAAGAGGGGCCGAGATGTTCGGTGAATACCTGGGGAAGGAGGGGAGGCTGGAATTCGGGTGGCAGCTATGGTGGAGTGGGGGAGGGGGTCGCTGAAAGGCTCACCCCGGCCACCCCGCCCCAGGTCTACTACTACATGGGCGTGGACGCCCTGCAGGAGCTGCTGGCCGTGGACGAGGCCGCGCTGAATCAGGCGCTGGTCTTCCTGGCCAAGGCGGGCGAGTCCGAGCTGGGCGCCACGCTGCCCGAGCTGCAGCTGCTGAGGGGCAAGTGCCTGCGCATCAAGGGCGAGGAGGCCAACGCGGCGGCCTGCTTCAAGCGCGTGGTGGAGCTGGACGACGCGGGCTGCAGCCACGCCGAGGGCTTCGGCTGCCTGCTCGAGGCGCTGCTGGCGCAGTGGAGCCAGGCGCTGCTGAGCGACGGCGAGCTGGGCCTCGAGGTGGACGAGTGGC